AGAGACGTCACAATATTATAACACACACACACACACACACACACACACACACACACACACACACACTGACCCCTTTGACTCCCTTCAGGTCTCCCTTCAGCAGGCTGTCCAGAGGGAACGTGATGATGTTGTTCATGTTCTGCAGCTGCAGACAGGAAGTGACATCAGAGCGTAAACAAAAGTTAAAGCCACACATTTTAAAGTAGATTAATGTAAAAAAATGTTTTCGCTAATTTGTAAATATTTCACAGATTTTTACCATTTCATTTTGTTGATCTTCATTTTGAGAGAACATTGTTCTCATAGATTTGAAATGCTCTCTAACATTTTTGAGTTTTTATTAATAAAATAGTTTTTTCCCGAGAAATTTGTGAGTTTTTTTGTTGTTGCTGGAAATGATTATTTTCTTATTTTTTTCATGTTGATTTTTTTCTGTAATTTTGTGATTTTATCTCCGAAAAATTGTGATTTTCTTTATAATTTGTATTTTTTTTCAAATTGGTCAGATAACTGCATTTTAATTTTTTCGGTAAATTTGTGATTTTTCTCAGAAACTGTAATTTTTTCCCCATAAAGCTTTATTTTTATAAAGTTTTCAGTTTTTTTGTGTAAATGACACATTTTTCTTGTAATTTAATTTATCTTATTTTCTAATTAACTCTTTTCTTTTCAGGACTAGAACCAGAGACAGTTTCCTCCCACAGGCCATCAGGCTGCTGTTAGTTCTGTATGTCTTGTAACTGCTCTGTTGAGGAACCTGCGATCTAAGCATTTCATTCATTACAGAGCTACACTGTACGTGACAACAGACCCTGAGCCTTGAATACGTGGTTGACCGACTTCCTCCCATCACCTGGAATACACTCACGTGTTGCTCTGGGTTTTAAACACTTGAGACGATGTATTGAACTCATTGTGAAATGATAAAACTGGTCACCAGGTTCTTGAAGAGTGCCGTCAGCTCTTTGGTGAACACGGAGAACTTGAGGAAGGCCGATCCCACGTCGGCGTCGTCCCTGCCGGCGCAGCTGTCCCCGAGGCGCTCCACGGCCTGGACGTACTGCTCCTCGTTCTCCACGTGAGCTGGAACACAACGTTCGTTTACTCACCCTCAGAACCAGGCCGTTGTTCAAAACATATATATTAGTTTTTATTGTTTTTAATGTTATTATTGTTTTTATTGTTTATATCAATTTTTTTTTATGCAACTTGGATTATTATTTTTTGTTATTTGATTTTATTGGAGTCAGAGATGTTTTGACAGCGACTTCTTTACTCAGCGCTTTATAAAGATCTGAGTTCAAGCTAATCTGAGAGGAGCTGATCTGTGAAGCCGAGCCTCCCTCGGCATGCTGGGACATGACGGAGGAATGACAGGAATGTGGAGGTGAGACTCCACCTGTCTCTCTACACACACACACACACACACACACACACACACACACACACACACACACACACACACACACACACACACACACACACACACACA